TCCCCTGGCCCCCTCACGAGGTAGATCATGGCTTGTAACAGGGTTTGTGTGAATGAGCTGTCGTGGGTAGCATAGGTTTGTCTTTTATGAGTGGTACTTGTGTGTTAATGAGCTGTGTGGTGATGGTAGGGCCATCATGTGACTGTGTGTAATGAGCTGTCGTGGGTAGCATCATGGTTGTACTGTGTGTAATGAGGGGTTTCGTGGGTAGCATCATGGTTGTACTGTGTGTAATGAGCTGTCGTGGGTAGCATCATGGTTGTACTGTGTGTAATGAGCTGTCGGGGTAGCATAGATTGGTTGTACTGTGTGTAATGAGCTGTCGTGGGTAGCATCATGGTTGTACTGTTATGAGCTTGTGGGTAGCATCATGGTTGTACTGTGTGTAATGAGCTGTCGTGGGTAGCATCATGGTTGTACTGTGTGTAATGAGCTGTCGTGGGTAGCATCATGGTTGTTACTGTGTGTAATGAGCTGTCGTGGGTAGCATCATGGTTGTACTGTGTGTAATGAGCTGTCGTGGGTAGCATCATGGTTGTACTGTGTGTAATGAGCTGTCGTGGGTAGCATCATGGTTGTACTGTGTGTAATGAGCTGTCGTGGGTAGCATCATGGTTGTACTGTGTGTAATGAGCTGTCGTGGGTAGCATCATGGTTGTACTGTGTGTAATGAGCTAGGCTAGATGAAGACATCCCACAATAGTAGCCTAAGTTACCAGAATCCCTCTGTCTACAGACATTCTGCTAGATGTAAATGACTGAATATCTGCAGACAGACATCTTAAACTGAGTGACATTTGATAGGTAATCTCCCAAAATAATCCACCTGTCACATGCTTAGAGTGCATGGGACGGTCTAGGGTTGCTATGGGATGGTCAAGGGTTGCTACGGGACGTTCAAGGGTTGCTATGTCGACGTCCCTGCACCAGTGTGGTTTACAGCTTATAACAGGAACAGGGTTCTACTGTACCATACATGTACTGATACAGGTTATTACAGGAACAGGGTTCTACTTTACCAAACAGGAACTGCTACAGCATACATAAGGCTTCCTGTCTAGTAGTCCCAAATGGCACCCTTTGTGTAGAATGGGAGAAAAAAAACAGAGAAAGATCAGTTTTCGTTTTCTCAAGTTGGCCGTATGTGTCCAGGTTCATTTTGTAACCCCGGGTTCTCTGCTTCGGATACATATTGTTCCCATATGGTGACGTCAAGTGGTGAACTGAAAAGAGAACTATATTGATCTATTGCTGGTAGTAAGCACTATAGACTGTAGTAGGGCCGTCGTTGTCTAAGGTTTAAGATTAAGGCTAAAAGCAGCAATAAACTCCAGATGCATGTGAAGCATTTGAAGAAGACATCAGTATAGGGATTACTTAAACGCATCAGGGATGTGAACGTTCATGAATTAATCATAAGTAAATAGCTTTTTTGATTGTATTGATAATGTTAAGTGACACATGTGTAATGAGCTGTCGTGGGTAGCATCATGGTTGTACTGTGTGTAATGAGCTGTCGTGGGTAGCATCATGGTTGTACTGTGTGTAATGAGCTGTCGTGGGTAGCATCATGGTTGTACTGTGTGTAATGAGCTGTCGTGGGTAGCATCATGGTTGTACTGTGTGTAATGAGCTGTCGTGGGTAGCATCATGGTTGTACTGTGTGTAATGAGCTGTCGTGGGTAGCATCATGGTTGTACTGTGTGTAATGAGCTGTCGTGGGTAGCATCATGGTTGTACTGTGTGTAATGAGCTGTCGTGGGTAGCATCATGGTTGTACTGTGTGTAATGAGCCTCTGTAGCTGTGTACTGTGTGGTCCTATGTAGCTCAGCTGGTAGAGCACGGCGCTTGTAACGCCAAGGTAGTGGGTTCGATCCCCGGGACCACCCATACACAAAAATGTATGCACGCATGACTGTAAGTCGCTTTGGATAAAAGCGTCTGCTAAATGGCATATTATTATTATTATTATTATTACATTCATAGTCTGCTGAAGGCTGATGCATGCTCTGAAATCACATTAATATTCTGAATGAGTTATTATACGTGGTGTAAGCACAGTTCTCTACAGACGACATAGAAGGCCTAACCGTAAGCTATTTTCATTTCAATGTCCTCCCCCTCAAGTTCAATATTTACCAGTGTATTATTGCTATCTTTGATGCTTTATTGTTTGTCTGTACAGTGTCTTATCTGCTGGTTCTTGGGATGATGAATGCCAGAGCAATCAGTCAGATGAAAAACCACAAAGTCAGTCAGTGAAGTAAACAGAGAGAAAGAGTAAATTTTGATTTAGACTAGACATAATCTACAGTGGACTCACTGGAAATACTGTGCTGTGTGTTTTCATCCTTCTCTCTCTCTCTTCTTTATATCTCTCTATATCTATATCGACTACATCTTATACTAGTCCGCTCATATCTCTCTTGGCTCTGCTATCTATCTCTCTCTCTATCTATCTCTCTCTCTTCTATATCTATCTCTTGTCTCATCTCTCTCTCTCTCTCTCTCTCTCTCTCTCTCTCCCTTTCTTCCTCGCTCTCTCTCTCCCTCCAGGATCAACAATACGCTCTCTTGTGTTTACATGTAGTCGGTCCAAAAAAACAAACCCAAACCACCAGCAGCCTAGCCTGCTCTAGCAGCAGTCTTTCCATCTCCCTCTCTCTGTGGTTCACCGCCTCTCCTGCCCTCAGACCAGAAACTTGTGATTGGCTTATTGACAGTATGAAATACAGGCAAATATTGTTTAATGTATTACGCAACTAGCAGTAATTGAATGTATTTACAGATCACTAAGACTTGAGTAAATGACAGGGATAGCCTGTTATTCTGAAGGTGGCAGCTTCTAAAAGGTAATACATGGAGCACAGACGGTGGTGTTGTTGCAGTAGCAGCCAGTGTGTTCTTCTTTTAATTAACATGCAGGGTGAATCATTTACTGTATATGAAGGGATCATAATTATGTAATGTTTTAACTGTCAAATATAACAGATTATACAATGGACTTCTTGCTTGCGTCAATTATATGTTTTTCATGGAGGCCATCAATAGTCTCTTTGTGGGTTGTGGGTCCGATTCCTGTCTGGTCCACCATATATACTCAATGTATGTTTCAACATCAATGTCTACACTTCTGTAAGTTTTGGATAATAGCTTTGAATATAACATAAACTTACAGCCATTCTCCTCCTCTCCTCTCTACTTCCAGCGAGAGAAGAGAACGTGGCGACGTTCCGTGGTTCCGAGTACTTCTGCTACGACCTGTCCCAGAACCCCATCCAGTCCTCCAGTGATGAGATCACGCTCTCCTTCAAGACGTGGCAGAGGAACGGCCTCTTACTCCACACAGGGAAGTCTGCTGACTACGTCAACCTGGCCCTAAAGGACGGGGCGGTGAGCCTGGTCATCAACCTGGGCTCCGGGGCCTTCGAGGCCATTGTGGAGCCCGTCAACGGGAAGTTCAACGATAATGGCTGGCACGACATCAAGGTCACACGCAACCTCAGACAGGTAACCATGCGACTGAGGAGACAGAGGTCCACGACTGGTATTGATTAGTCATAGTAATAGATTAATTGGTTGGTAGTAGTGGCTTGGGTTTATGTTGTTAGATTAGTGTTTACCTCTGTTTACAATTGATGTATTATAATATATGTATTTGTATTTTTTTATAGCACCTTTTCCAAGTGCCCTAAGCACTTTAGATAGTTGTCAAATATGTCGTGTTGAGAAATATTATGAGAGAGACATTATGAGTTTGTGTAGTGTTGAATTATTATCATTATGGTTAGATAGCGTTTTCCCCTCTATTTTATCCCCTAGCAGTGACTGTCAATGAAGAAGCACAGACTGCATAGTGATTGATAGCTTAGTGGTGGAGCAGCCGATACTGTGGCTCTGTACTTCTCTCTTTTCCTTATCTTATGATGAACGTGAAGACTTCCCTATTTCCTTCATTTAAACGTATCTGATATTACCTTGCTTTTATACTCCACTAAGCTGACACTTCTATCAGGGGCTGTGTCGTAGGGCCGCTATCTCGTCACCTTCAGAAAGTAGCTGTTTTCCTTTATACAACTAGATGTGTATCCTCTGTATAGCTACAGAAACTACAAGGCAGGGTTTAAGACATCCATTAACTCAGGACAAATGCAGGGTCTTCGGGTGACAGATTGTAGTAGCCTTCTGATGGACATTTGTTTCAGATCAGTGGAGCATCTTATTCAAATACTACAAATGGATGTTAAAATGACCTCTGATAGGCCCTCTATTGTCACATTGTCAGCTTAGATAGTTTATAGTACTTCTAATCATACGGATGGTGAACACATCATAATACTAGAATGGATATGAACCTTCTTATGATGGGATAAAGGTCAGCCATTTTGGTCAGAGAGTTGGTCAACCATGGTTTGGCAGTGCTGTAATGAGATAGTGTGTAAAATAATGAATTTGAAGAATTTATCTGCAGTGTATGTTTGCTAGCTAGTCGGACAGTTTTAAAGGAATGATTCCCTTAATTTTTCTAAATAACTGCCAATATGCAAACATTCCATTCAAAGTCAAATCACAGCCAAACACTGGCTCAAATCAGTTGATGATAGGACTTAGACAAGTTGTAAATGCAACAAGTACTGATATTGTATCATATTATAACACTCACAGCTTTCCAAGAAAACAACAAATTTAGACATTTATGGTCTGTTCACATATATTTTAGAGGCTATTGATACAGAAAATTGGTATAAAACCCGTATAAACTGTATTTATAATTATATGACAATATGTTTGGTTGACAATAATTCTATTAAACAATTTCTGATACATTACATGCCTTCCTTGTATTGTCCTGCATAGGTAAAATCAGGATTATGCCTCTACTGCCATTCATTCCAACTAGACCGGTTTGGATTTCTCCCAGACCAATATGGCTGCCATTTTCACCCTATTCTGGAACATTGAGGGTTTAGCCCCTCTAGTAATTGAACAGGATCTCTATGACTATACTCTGCTACTGCTATGTACTGTACTATAACTATAACTCTATGACTTTAATTCTATTCTAACATCGTTACTCAACTCAACTTTAAGAAGTAGGGCTTTACACTGGATATATATATACTTGTACTATAAGAGTGAAGGCACAGTGAGAGAAGCGATAGCAGATAGCCGTTTGTTTGTGGTGTGGAGAGGGAGTGGCCAGTGGGCAGTGAAAGGCTTTCTTCAGCCAGTACAATGGAGCCCTGAATGGAGGTGAAGAGAGGCGGAAAAGTAAGTAAAGACGCTAACAGGTTGTTAAAGGATGTAGCGCACTAGCTAGCTACCACTGAAGGAACACTGACTCACAGACCAGAGGCTAAGCTAGGCTTCTTTTTTTTTTTTCTCCTTCTCTCTCTCTTCTTCCTCTCTGTCTATCTTTCTTTCCCTTTCGGTCAGTCTATCTCCTCTCTTTGGAAAGACATGCTTTGTTAGACTAACACTTACCTTTCATGAAATACTAAGTCATTTTATTTACTTACTAACTAACAGTTATCTAAACAACTAACCAATGTACTAACTAACTATCATCCTACTTCTCCTACGTCATTGGTTTTTATTTGGGTTTCTTTCTTCTCCCATCCCTTTATTAACAACCGTTTTGTTCACTATTCTTTTGATTTCCTTTCTTCCCCCTTTTCCGGAAAGCAATCAGGCATTGGACACGCTATGGTAAACATACTGCATTGTCTGGTAGATATCATTCTTATTGTCTTCTTTGGGGTTTGCCGTGTGTGTCCCCCCCCTACCCCCTCTTCTTTTTCTTTTTATAATTTTAATTTCATCCTAGACACTTCTTATCAAAAAATGAGGAAATGGGTTTGTATTACCAACAGCTTTCTTCAGTTCTCAATATCCTCCCTTCCCTGGCCTCTCAACCTCTTCCCCACCCTCCTCTTTTTTCAGTCCGGCTTTTACTTGTTTTCATTTTTTATTCCTCATTGCTACGAAGTTTGCAGAGGTTCTTCGAGTCTCAAAAGAACGACCAGATTCGCTCCCTGACTTTTGATATTTTGTCAGGGATACATACAAAAATAGATGTTTTTCCACCAAATAAAAATCTCCAAATTTTTGGTGAGGACTGTCGCCGCCCAAGAACTGAGAGAAGCTCTGCCACAATCCAAACAACAAGAGTGAATCTTCAACCAACCAGCAGCCGCCAAACTCCGGTCCGGGCACTATAATGCTAAACAGAAACAAAATGGCAACCCAGAGACGAAATGGCGACCCCTTTCTTTACCGGAGCTCTGACAGTTGTTTCCAACACACTCAGTCTGGCACATGGCATGCCCACCACCTCTCATCAATGCCTTTTCACCTCCTGACCTCTGACATCGTATGACCTTTACCCTCTCACCCCCTCACCCTCCTCACCCATAACCACTAACACTTCACTTTCACATTCACTCACCTTCCACCTATCACCCACTATCACTGTCCTGTCCCCCCACCCCATCCCTGGGTGTTGTGTTTGTAGCATGCTGGTGACAGTGGTGTCTGTGTGTTGTGGCTAACATTACTCCCGCCCCCTCCCGATCCCCTTGACTTGATTGGTGGATGTACCCTGTCTCCCGATTGGCTTGATCATGCTTTGTATGACATCAAATCATTTATACCCCTTACATGTCAAACTTATTTGTGTTTTTGTTAACTTCTAAAGAATGAAAACCTTGGTTTCTGCATTTGTGAAGTTGTGTGATAATCCTCCCTATGTAATGCATGTGTGTGTATAAGGCCGAGTGTGTGTGACTGAGAGCGTGTGCGTTTGTGTGCGTGTGATTGTTTGTATAGTTACAAATTGAACCCTGAAACCTAAGACAAGTACAAGCAATTTGTCCTTGGCAATTTGTCCATTTTACTAACCCTCTCCCAACCTGAACTATCCAAACCGAATGAGAATCCATTATCTTACCCCCATCAAAAGATAAAGAAAATATGATCCTCTGCTCTGACATATTTTCTTTATCTGTCCTGTGAACCTACCTATGACTAAAACCATTAAATAATACCTCAAACGCTGTCTTATCCAAACTATCAAACTATTGCTCCAAGGTACAAAAGCTACTAGGTACTAGCTACTAGGTACTATCTACTACAGTGGCTTCAGAAAGTATTCACACCCCTTGACTTTTTCCAGCTTTTGTTGTGTTAAAGGCTGATTTTTTTGTCACTACACACAATACCCCATAATGTCAAAGTGGAATCATGTTGCAAGACATTTTTACTAATTAATAAAAAATGAAAAGCTGAAATGTCTTGAGTCAATAAGTATTCAACCCCTTTGTTATGGCAAGCCTAAGTAAGTCACATAATAAGTTGCATGGACTCACTCCGTGTGCAATAATAGTGTTTAATCTCTTAAGGATCTGACCCTTTTGTTTCGCCTAAAATGACATACCCAAATCGAACTGCCTGTAGCTCAGGACCTGAAGCAAGGATATGCATATCCTTGATACCATTTGAAAGGAAACACTTTGAAGTTGGGTTGTGGGTTCGATAAAATAATGTATGCACTAACTGTAAGTCGCTCTGGATAAGAGCGTCTGTTAAATGACTAAAATGTAAATGTAAATGTAAGTTTGTGGAAATGTGAAATGAATGTAGGAGAATATAACACATTAGATCTGGTAAAAGATAATACAAACAAAAAATATATATACTTTTTTTCCCCCGTCATCTTTGAAATGCAAGAGAAAGGCCACAATATAATATTGCACTTTAGATTTTGGCCACTAGATTTACATTTTAGTCATTTAGCAGAAGCTCTTATCCAGAGCGACTTACAGTTTTAGTGAGTTCATACATTTTCATACTGGCCCCCTGTGGGAATCGAACCCACAACCCTGGCATTTCAAGTGCCATGCTCTACCAACTGAGCTAGAGGAGGCCACTGTAGCTCAGTAGATGGCAGCAGTGTGTGTGCAACGTTTCAGATTGATCCATTGAAGCGTTGCAATACTGGACTATTTTGTATCAAGTCTGCCCAAATGTGCCGAATTGGTCAATTGATACATTTTCAAGTACATAACTATAGAGAACATACAAAAATTATATGGTAATACAAAATGTAAGTTTACACACTCCCAGGAATGTCAAACATGATGGATCATTAGCATACACAAACTTTCACACATCTAGATGGCCGGGCGGGGTGGGTGTGGAGCCAGAGACAGCAAGGGTTCAAACTGTAGAACCCAGTTCCTACATTTGAATAAAAAATGGATTTTATTAAACAGAACTATGCTACATTTTATCTCTGGGACCCTCAGGATGACAAATCAGAGCAAGATTACTGAATGTAAGTTCATTATTTATCTTCAGAGGTGAACGTATCAAACCAGTTGCCGTGACACGTTTTTTGTTCTTGTGCACTCTCCTCAAACAATAGCATGGTATTTTTTCACTGTAATAGCTACTGTAAATTGGACAGTGCAGTTAGATTAACAATAATTGAAGCTTTCTGCCCATATAAGACATGTCTATGTCCTGGAACGTTTGCTGTTACTTACAACAGTCATGCTAATCATATTAGCGCACATTAGCTCAACCATCCCGTATACGGGACACCGATCCCGTAGAGGTTAACATGATTTTTAAATGACTACCTCATCTCTGTACCTCACACATAAAATTAGCTGCAAGGTCCCTCAGTCGAGCAGTGAATTTCAAACACAATTTCAACCACAAAGACTGGGGAGGTATTCCAATGCCTCACAAAGAAGGGCACCTATTGGTAGATGGGTACAAATAAAAAAAGCGGACACTGAAAATCCCTTTGATCATGGCGAAGTTATTAATTACACTTTGGATGGTGTATCAATACACCCAGTCACTACAAAGACACAGGCGTCCTTCCTAACTCAGATTGCCGGAGAGTTACAGAGTTTAATGGCTGTGATAGGAGAAAACTGAGGATGGATCAACAACATTGTAGTTACTCCACAATACTAACCTAATTGAGAGAGTGAAAAGAAGGAAACCTGTAAAGAATAAAATATATTCCAAAATGTAAATCCTGCTTGCAACAAGGCACTAAAGTAATGCTGCAAAAACATTTGGCAAAGCAATTAACTTTTGGTCCTGAATACGAAGTGTTATGTTTGGGGCAAGTCCAATACAAGACATGACTTTGTACTTAGCACTGAGCACAGGCACAATCCTAAAGGAAAACCAGGTTCAGTCTGCTTTCCACCAGACACTGGGAGACCTTTCAGCAGGACAATAACCTAAAACACAAGGCCAAATCTACACTGGAGTTGCTTACCAAGAAGACAGTGATTGTTCCTGAGAGGCCAAGTTACAGTTTTGACTTAAATCTACATGAAAATCTATGGCAAGACCTTAACACGGTTGTCTAGAAATGATCAACAACCAATTTGACAGAGCTTGAAGAATTTTGAAAAAAATAATGGGAAAATGTTGCACAATCCAGGTGTGGAAAGTGCTTAGAGACTTACCCAGAAAGACTCACAGCTGTAAGGTGCTTCTACAAAGTATTGACTCAGGGGTGTGAATACTTATGTAATGTAATATTTATGTTTTTCATTTTCAATAAATTTGCAAACATTTCTCAAAACATGTTTTCTCTTTTGTCATTATGGGGCATTGTGTGTAAATGCGTGAGAAAATAAATATATTTCTTCCATTTTGAATTCAGGCTGTAACAAAAACAATCTGGAATAAGTCAAGTGGTATGAATACTTTCTGAAGCCACTGTAGCTTCTACTACTAGGTACTAGCTACTATGAACTAGCTACTAGCCCAGGTGATCTCAGTCAAGAGATAACTGAATAAAATACATAGTTATATTCCATTAGGTCAGAGCAGACCAAGGGGAGAGCTGTGTGCATCCTATACATATTGAACAGAGAGTTCCACCTCAGTGCCTAATGGTTTGGCTTTGGTATGTGTTACCCTATAACAGGTGACCATCTCTGTGGATGGGATCCTCACCACGACAGGCTATACCCAGGAAGACTACACCATGCTGGGGTCTGACGACTTCTTCTACGTGGGTGGGAGTCCTAGTACGGCTGACCTACCTGGTTCTCCTGTCAGCAACAACTTCATGGGCTGCCTGAAAGAGGTAGGTTAAGGTTGGAGGTACTGAAGGTACCCACATACAACCCCCCCCCCCCCCCCCCCCAGTTGAATTACATACAGTGAGCTCCATAATTCATTGGACAGTGACCATTGTTTTGTTATTTTGGTTCTATACTCTAGCACTTTGAGTTTGAAAGGATACAATGACAATGAGCGTGAAGTGCAGACTGTCAGCTTTAATTTGAGGGTATTTTCATACATATCGGATGAACCGTTTAGAAATGACAGCACCTTTTGTACATGGTCCCCCCATTTTAAGGTACTACAAGTTTTTGTTAAATTGGCTTCACAGATGTGTGTCGTTAGGCAGGTGTATTCATTTGTGTCGTTAGTGAATGCAGGAGAGCTGTTGATGAATAGTAATGATTCTAGACTTTGCTATTGCCTTTGGAGGTTGTTATTGGGGTGTGACAACATGAGGAAGACAGCAGTGTCGATGCAAATGAAGTTGGCCGTCATAAGGCTCAGAAATGAAAATCAATCATTCAGGAACATTGCAAAAACCCTGGCCATGCCCAAGTCAACAGTTTTGTTCATCATTAACAAGAAAAAAACAACCGGTGAACTCAATTATGTCAAAAGACCCAGTAGACAGAGGAAGACCACTGTAGTGGATGACCGGAGAATACTCTCTATGGTGAAGAAAAAACCCCTGATAACAGCCCAACAGATCAAAAACACTCTCCTGGATGCAGGTGTAGATGTGTCAAAGTCTACCATACGCAGAAGACTACACCAGCAGGACTACAGAGGGTACACTACAAGATGCAAACCACTGATAAGCCTGAAGAACAGAAAGGCAAGATTACAGTTTGCTAAAAAGCACCTAAAAGAGCCCCAAGAGTTCTGGAAAAAAGTATTGTGGACAGATGAGACAAAGATTAACATGTACCAGAGTGATGGAAAGACAAAAGTGTGGAGAAAAAAAAGAAATGCCCATGATCCAAAGCATACCACCTCATCCATGAAACATGGTGGAGGGGGTGTTATGGCTTGGGCCTGTATGGCTGCCAGTGGAACAGGCTCACTTGTCTTCATCGATGATGTGACTGCAGACAGAAGTAGAACAATGAATTCTGAAGTCTACAGAAATATTTTATCTGCTCAGATAAAACCAAATGCCTCCAAACTCATTGGACGGCACTTAATCATGCAACAAGACAATGACCCTAAACATACTGCTAGAGCAACAAAGGGGTTTTTGATGGCCAAAAAGTGGAAAATCCTTGACTGGCCGAGTCAATCACCAGATCTGAATCCAATTGAACATGCATTTTACATGCTGAAGAGGAGACTTAAGGCAATAAGTCCCCGAAACAAGCAGGAACTGAAGATGGCTGCAGTACAGGCCTGGCAGAGCATCACCAGGGAAGATACCCAGCGTCTGGTGATGGCGATGCATCGCAGACTTCAAGCAGTCATTGCATGCAAAGGATATGCGACCAAATATTAACAATGATTACTTTATTCTACATTATGTTAAACTGTCCAATGTTTTTTGATGCCCGAAAATGGGGGGGACTATGTACAAAAGCTTCTATAATTCGTAAACGGTTCATCCGATATGTATGAAAATACCCTCAAATTAAAGCTGACAGTCTGCACTTCACCCTCATTGTCATTGTATCCTTTCAAACTCAAAGTGCTAGAGTACAGAACCAAAATAACAAAAGAATGGTCACTGTCCAGTGAATTATGGAGCTCACTGTATGTAAAATCAGCAAGGTTGTCCTCCGCTAAGCAGCAGCAGCAATGAGAAATGAAATTGCATTATCAATGAAAGCTGATGAGTTGGCAGACAGGGGAAGTGCTCGGCAGCCATTCGATATTTCTCAGCTTCATCTAACTCACAACATTCACAGCAGTTAGTTGTGTGTGAGAAAATGGCCCCCGAATACTTGACTGTCATATGTCATTTGCAGTCTCAGCTTGACTGCAGTAAAGCAGTGGAATACCGTATGCCAGTCCTAGTGCTTACTACCAAGAAAGGGAATTTTGGTGTGATAAGACACAACATATTGTTGTTGTTCTAGGATATTTGAAATATATATTTAAAAATGTACTAAAATGTACTTTAGAATATACTACAATGCACTAAAATGAACTTTAGAATGTACTACAATGTACTAAAATTAACTTTAGAATGTACTAAAATGTACTAAAGTGAACTTTAGAATGTACAAAAATGTACTTTAGAATGTACTACAATGTACTAAAATTAACTTTAGAATGTACTCAAATTTACTTTAGAATGTACAACAATGAACTTGTGGTTATTTCACCTAGTCTCACCTTAAGATGGATGCGCTAACTGTTAGTCACTCTGTATATAAGTGTCTGGTAAATGAATAAAATGTTTGAAAAAGAAAAGGAGAGTTCACTCTAGGAGCTCAGATGCAGTAATTTAATAACCAACGTTTGGACAGCCAAGCTGTCTTCACCAGGGTATAATGACAAACACTGTAGGTCACTAGTTTATACAGTTTGAAAGGACACACAGGTGTCTGTAATGATGACTGGCTGTGGCTTGATTTCATTGGTCGATTTACAGATTTGCAAAACTGAAAACTGAACCACCGCATTTAACCGTGGCAAGGTGACTGGGAACATGGCAGAATTCAAACAGTGTAGTTATTCCCTCCGCAAGACAATCAAACAGGCAAAACGTCAGTTTAGGGACAAAGTGGAATCGCAATTCAACGGCTCAGACACGAGACGTATGTGGCAGGGTCTACAGACAGTCACGGACTACAAAAGGAAAACCATTCACGTCGCGGACACCGGCGTCTTGCTTCAGGACAAGCTAAACACCTTTTTCGCCCACTTTGAGGATAATACAGTGCCACCGATGTGGCCCGCTACCAAGGACTGTGGGATCTCCTTCTCCGTGGCCGACGTGAGTAAGACATTTAAGCGTGTTAACCCTCGCAGATGGCATCCCTAGCCGCGTCCTCAGAACATGCGCAGACCAGCTGGCTGGTGTGTTTACGGACATATTCAATCTCTCCCTGTCCCAGTCTGCTGTCCCCACATGCTACAATATGGCCACCATTGTCCCTCTACCCAAGAAAGCAAAGGAACTGAACTAAATGACTATCAGGAAAAAGCAGATGGAGCACCCCCCTATCCAAATCAACGGGACCGCAGTGGAGAAGGTGAAAAGCTTCAAGTTCCTCAGCGTACACATCACTGACAAACTGAAATGGTCCACCCACACAGACAGTGTGGTGAAGAAGGCGCAACAGTGCCTCTTCAACCTCAGGAGGCTGAAGAAATTTGACTTGGCACCTAAAACCCTCACAAACTTTTACAGATGCACCATTGAGAGCATCCTGTCAGGCTGTATCACCGCCTGTACGGCAACTGCACCGCCCGCACCCCCAGGGCTCTCCAGATGGTGGTGCGGTCTGGGGAGAAAACTACCAGCCCTCCAAGACACCTACATTACCCGATGTCACAGGAAGGCCAAACAGATCGTCAAGGACAACAACCACCCGAGCCACTACCTGTTCACCCGCTTTCATCCAGAAGGCGAGGTCAGTACAGGTGCATCAAAGCTGGGACAGAGAGAATGAAAAACAGCTTCTATCTCAAGGCCATCAGACTGTTAAATAGCTTCCACTAGCACATTAGAGGCTACTGCCTATATACAGATTTTTGAAATCACTGGCCACTTTAATAAATGGAACACTAGTCACTTTAATAATGTTTACATATCTTGCATTACTCATCTCATATGTATATACTGTATTCTATAGTATTCTACTGTATCTTAGTCAATGCCACTCTGACATTGCTTGTCTATATATTTATTGATGTATTCTTAATTCCATTGCTTTACTTAGATTTGTGTTTATTGGGTATATGTTGTGAAATTGTTAGATATTACTTGTTAGACATGCGGCACTGTCGGATCTAGAAACACAAGCATTTCACTACACCCTCAATAACATCTGCTAAACACATGTACAGTGGGGAGAAGAAGTATTTGATACACTGCCAATTTTGCAGGTTTTCCTACTTACAAAGCATGTAGAGGTCTGTAATTTTTATCAGAGGTACACTTCAACTGTGAGAGACGGGATCTAAAACAAAAATCCAGAAAATCACATTGTATGATTTTTAAGTAATTAATTTGCATTTTATTGCATGACATAAGTATTTGATCACCTACCAACCAGTAAGAATTCTGTCTCTCACAGACCTGTTAGTTTTTCTTTAAGAAGCCCTCCTGTTCTCCACGCATTACCTGTATTAACTGCACCTGTTTGAACTCGTTACCTGTATAAAAGACACCTGTCCACACACTCAATCAATCAAACAGACTCCAACCTCTCCACAATGGCCAAGACCAGAGAGCTGTGTAAGGACATCAGGGATAAAATTGTAGACCTGCACAAGGCTGGGATGGGCTATAGGACAATAGGCAAGCAGCTTGATGAGAAGGCAACAACTGTTGGCGCAATTATTTGAAAATGGAAGAAGTTCAAGATGACGGTCAATAACCCTCGGTCTGGGGCTCCATGCAAGATCTCACCTCGTGGGACATCAATGAGCATGAGGAAGATGAGGGATCAGCCCAGAACTACACGGCAGGACCTGGTCAATGACCTGAAGAGAGCTGGGACCACAGTCTCAAAGAAAACCATTAGTAACACACTACGCCGTCTTTGATTTGAATCCTGCAGCGCACGCAAGGTCCCCCTGCTCAAGCCAGCGCATGTCCCGTCTGAAGTTTGCCAATGACCATCTGGATCATCCAGAGGAGGAATGGGAGAAGGTCATGTGGTCTGATGAGACAAAAATAGAGCTTTTTGGTCTAAACTCCACTCGCCGTGTTTGGAGGTAGAAGAAGGATGAGTACAACCCCAAGAACACCATCCCAACCGTGAAACATGGAGGTGGAAACATCATTCTTTGGGGATGCTTTTCTGCAAAGGGGACAGGACGACTGCACCGTATTGATGGGAGGATGGATGGGGCCATGTA